ATTGTCTGTATTGTGCTTGTGATATGTTGTAAAATGTTGTATGTCTGTTAATGTTTCCCTCCTTTTATCTTTAAAATAAAAAAAAAAGAAAGAAAATAAATGGTACATGGCTCTGTGCCTGAGCCAAGGACTAAGTCTTAAGCATTAAGGTCACAGGTTGCCTAATGGGCACAGTTTGAGGTGTGTTTGTGACTGCCAGGGATGGAGGTCAAGGAGGCAGCTGGATATAACCATGCGGACCTCAGATGAGTATCTTGGCTGGTGTGAAAGAGAATGTAGAGTGAGAGGTGAGGATGGCCAGGGAGTGAGTCTTGAGGAATCTGCTCACCATACAGCACACGAACAGAGGAGACTAGAAAGGCCCACGGTGCAGGCAGAAAACCTGGGCAATGGTGTGATAAGAAATGCCTAGGAAGGTAAGTCTTTCCATAGTGAGGAATTCTGATTCCATCACTTTCTGAGACAAGTTGTATGGCTGCTCTAAGCTTCAGCTTCCTTACCTTTAAATGGAGTTTAGTATACATCTTTCAGAGTTATTGAGGATGTTAAATGAGAAAAATCAGCATTGCATATTTAAATATCCTAAAGTCTATCTCACTATTTATACAATACAGTTTATTGCTGTAGTCTCCATGAAATATCAGTAATAATAAATACTGTACAGCTTGCAGTGATATTAAATGAATTTTTATTATAAGTACTTTTTTCTCAACTATTAGTTTTAGAAGGAATAATGATCTACATGCTTTCTTTTTGTAGTCTTAAGATTAGCGTCTGAGGGAATCTTTATGTATATCCGATGTACTGTTTTTGGTCTTTTTTATTTTAAAGAGAAAAAAATAAAAATAACAATAAAACAGTTTCAGAAAAGTTAGTAGGAGAGTTAGTAGGAGAGTTACAATAATTAATACATTATATATTGTTGTCTCTGTAGTAGTAATTCAGAGTACAGGATATAGGCATGATATCTTGTCCAAACAATATTAACACAAACCTTTCTTTTCATGAACTAAGAGTGTACTTATTTTTTGACAGGTAACCTAATTTATTCTGTGGAGGGATGGTTGAGGAAAGAGATATTCCCATGTAAGAATTCTGTGAGATGGAAAGCAATATTCAAGATAGTTTTAAGTTACACTAAGATTAAATTTCCTGCTTGAAATGAAATATTTCATTGATTAGCTTTTGTCTCAGGTTAAACTCTAACCATCATTTGTTATACGCATGCATTATTCTTGAAATATTTGTGCCTCTGAAACATGTGTGCCACCTGGAATATATAAATACCATTATTTCGGACCAAAATTTGTTTGGGTTACTAATTTTCTCACAATCTTTATTAGCAAAGAAAAGCGAGGGAGGGAGTTTGGGAGTTCTACAATTATAAAATATTCTCTGCTGAGGCTTAGCAAATCGTTCTTTTGGAAACAATAATATGCACCTTTCAAAGTCTACACTAATACACACTGTTAATGAGTATTATGTACTCAGAACTGCAGTGCGTTTCTGCGTGTGGATGTGGTAAGAATCATTTTCAACAGTTCTTACACAGAGGCAGTTTTGCATCCTGTGCAAAAATGCTGCATTTTGCATCCTGTGCATTTCAGTGGCTGATCATTTGCATGAGCCAAGTTCATGCTGCCAGCTATTACTCCACTCCTCTTGGGCTTTGCTGTAACTCAGAGCAGTGCTAATTTGCCACTCTACATTTGGCTCTTGGAGAATGTTTTCATATATGTACTGAGCTTATAAAAACCATGTTTTTCCTGAAGTAGAAAACAGGAATTCATTTGTTTTATATTTGCATCAATTTATGTTATAGTCAGGTATGTGCAGCTAGGTTTGACTTTAAACTTTATATGAGAGGATCTCTGAGCAAAGAATTAGTTACTATCAACATTTTTGCATATTGTTACCAGAGTCTGGTGTGTTAGCCTCAGTGCTGTAAGTTTAGACAGAAGCCATGGAAAACCTCTAGTTGAACTCTAGAGGAAAAAGTTCCCCTTGGCCACTCAAATTCTCATCTTTCCTCTGACCTTTTGTTTCTTCACCTTACTCCTTGCTATAAAACCCTGGCTTATGTAACTCTTCCAGCTCACCCTCCTAGACTTAGACTGACTCGTTTATTCAACATTTCATTTTAGGTGCTTTGGGGAAAAGTGAGAATAGGATTTTGTCATGCAGAGGTTGTAAGGGGGGGCATTGGGGAGCAGGGTAGAGAAGAGGATGTAGGAAACTGCTTGATGTATTTGGTCCTCATCATTGACAGATACCAGCCCATGTAGAGGATGCATTAACTTAATTAGATTATGAATTTCGTAAGAAGCTAAAAATATTTCCACACCATAATGAAGTAGAAGCTGTCATGGATAATTCTCTTGGGCAATCTTTTTTAAGTGAGTTATTTAAGCGAAAAGACTAAGTCAGCCTTTCCATTCATACAGTTCAGGTGCATGAACATTTCAGTCCTACGTGTGCACTGACATGAGACACTGCTGAGGAGCGGGGACCGGGGCTGTGGAAGTGGAGTCCTGGGTGACGATGCCACAGACAGCACTTCCCCGTTTAACATCCTGCTCGTCCTCTGATCCTTCCAGTCACAGCGGCCCCGTCAGTGCACACTCAACGTGGACCTGACTGGAGAAGGATTGAACGCCTTGAGAAACATGGACGAAATGAAATCCCCCCTTTTGTAAGGGGTGCGCTTTTGTTTTGTGAATCGCATTCACTTTTTCACTGTTGTTCTTTTTTGCTTTCAAATTTTAGAAACGACATAAAGCTGATAATGCAGTGAACAAGAAACAGACACAAGGTAGGAATTTTACGTCTCCTTTCTCTTCTTTACCAAGCTGCCCTCACAGCAATATGTATGGATCTCTCCAATAACATATAATTCAATTGAGGATATTGTGTATCTCTTAAGTTTTTGTTCATGATAAGCTGTTTCTTGCTTTGAAACATTTATTAGTGTGATTCTTAAATTCACGTTAGAGTCATGTACAGTGAAAATATTTTTGAAAGATGACATTTTAATATATAAAAATGCCTCATAGTGGTGTGTTCTAAAGTACTGTCCATAGGATCTGACGTTATTTTGATAATGTTAAAAACTGTAAAATGTGTCTGTTTTGTCTGTGCTCTGTGGGTACTACTCTAGAAAGGCTGTGTGGAAAGTAATCATATTACTTTGCTGAAAAGCATATTGAGAACACTGAGTTACATGATACATACAGATGAAATATTTTCCCGAAGTAAAGGAAATGATTAAAACTAGGCCAGCTTTAGGAAGTAGCATGGCTTTTTTGGTATGGGTCTCAGTTTGAGGCAGCCCAAACCAAAATGACCTTCAAAATTGGCAAAAAGGCCACTATGCTGTCAGATTTTTTTAAAAAATCAGAAACTTGCAAAAATGACACTATCTCATCCTTGCGCTTGTGCCCTCTGAGAGTCTTATTTCTTTCTGAAGTTTCCTGTTGAGGATCAGCAGTATCTCCCAGCATTATCTGATAGTCTAAAATAGTATTTTATACTGTTGTTATTTGTTTGGGCCCTGTTAAAGTGCTGTCCTTTTTTTCTTGCCACTTAATAAGGCCATTTGATGCATTTGAAGAAATCAAGTTTATTAAAAAAAAAAAACTTACTGAGATATTTTTATTATACGATGTACAGCAACAATAAATGGGGATTTTTAACTTTGAAGAGCTTATAGCCTATTTATTCAGCTAAGTACAGAAGAAAAAGAATAAAAGGACAAATAAGAGATGATTTCCATATAAGATTAAGGATTGGGCTACATCATCTCAATGTGTCACTATATTTCCTTCGCAAATAGTGTTTCCCATATCTAAAGCTGAAACATTCAAAAACAGAGACTGTTGTGGAGTACCTTGAGTTAGATCTGGGATTTGGGGAGTATTGTGGGTAAGCAAGAGATGTAGAAAAGACGTCTTGTGTGTGGATTGTGTGGGAAAGGCAGGACAACAGGGCATCCTAAGCAGAAAGGAAAAGGCTGCTGGATTGCTTTGTTGATCTGTTGGTAGTGTCACTTGTAGGAAAGAGAATCATATCAGAGGGAAACAAACGTGATTACAAAGGTAGATTGGGCCTTAAACTGCAAGCCAAAGAGATTCCAATTTTTCTTGTATGTCCTGAGTGGCTACTGAAGGTTTACAAGCCAATAAATAGAATAAGCATCTAGGTTCAGGAAAGACAGCAGAAAGAATCAGAGCAGGGGGCTATCAGCTGTCTGGAGACAGAGCTTCTCCAGAAGGTTAGGTCTGAAGGGACAATCATAGATATTGAAGGGTCGAAAATCCAGATGTTTCAAGTATTGGAGATTTTGGCAATATGCAGTTTTACATTTGTTTCCGTATTGCTCAGAATATTTATTCGCAGCTTTTGAAACAGAATTATGTGAATATGTGTCTGTTGTGTGATGTTTCTTGGAGCGGAGGGCTGCTCTCTTCAGTGACAGTTCATTTTCAGGTTTTGGTCTAAGAAGTCAACCTGGTAAAACTGAAGAACAGTCATCACGACTTTCACAATTTTAGGCCACGGCTCCTGGTTCGGAAAGGATTCTCATTTTCTGAGTACTTACTTCCCCCAACGTTCCCGTCAGAGAAAGTGTTCTCTCTGTCTCTCTTGGCTCATCAGTCCCTTTTATGGACTAACAAGATCAGCCCTAGTAGCTGGAAATAAGGAATAAGCAAGTGAGAGAAGGTGTCAGTGCTAGTGTATGTGTTTTATAAGTCATTTCAAAAATACAGTATCGAGACTGAGCTATAAAAACCATTTGATTAACAGAATACTTGGAAGTCCTATATGCAAGTAATAATGGCTTTTAGGTTAATACTTGAAATTGTTTTCTAAGAAATTGGTATTGTTTTCGTTACCTACCTTGATAGTTGATATTTTTTTAGTTTGGTAGTTGATAGGCAGTAATAAAAGTGTTTGGGTAGCACTGTTTGCTGTCATATAGCTCGGATTACTTCATATGAAACCCATTTGTTGTCATCTGACCAGAATGAAATTCAATTTGCCTTCCTAAACTGAGTCTGTGGTGGGTGTTTAGGAAAGGGAAAAAGGATATTTATGACAGGTAATTAAGTTTTGAAAGAAATTTAGAGTATTACATTTTCATTCTCTAAATGGTTACTAAGACCAAATAATATGCAAGAGGATGACATTTCCCCCTCACATTTATTTAAATATCAACCCTTTTATATTTTTACAGAAATAAGTATTTTCTCTATTTTTGCATCAGGGCACAAAAGACTTCATTCTTCTCTCATTCCCTAGCAACTTCATAAATATAAATTTGTAATTTATTTCCAACATTTTTAACTACATAATTATACACCAATATTTGTCTAGCTTCTCATTTTTACCAGTTAATTTGTACAGTTTGGACCTCCCTTAGAGCTTCACAAATAGGGTCTCCCTATGAGCCTATCCACTTTTAAAGAAGAGCCACTTCTTGCCCAGAGGTAGAAAAATTGGTTAAGTAGATGTTTCAGTGATCTGGCAAGTGCAAAATTGTGGGTTATTTTCCAAGCACCTCATTGCAGAGGGAGGGCAAGGTATAAATTGATGCTCAGAAGTCAGGGAAATGAGTGAGTCTTGGTAACTTTTGTGGCCCACTTTTCCCAAAGAAGCATGACTTTTGAGGGCTCCTGATGCTTTTGTTGCTGCTGTGTGCTGGTTTGTATGTAGCAGGCAGAAGCACAGAGAAGCCAAGGCCAGCTTCTCATCTCTGTGTTTCTGGGAGCTCTTAGCCCAGGCTCCTGTCGTAGCAGATGCTATGTGAGTATGTGGCAGACCAACAGGTGCATGGACCACTCTCAGATACTTTAATACAGATAATGAAGGAGAAAGAGAGACTACATATGCAAGGAGGCATCTTGAAACTTCATCATCTGGGGTGGGAACAAAATGAAGAGCAGTATTTTCCTAATACTGTGTCCCAGACTATTTCACAAGCACCAATAAAATACTGAAGTGGTGCAAGTTCTCACCACTTTGTTACCTTCTCTGTCAGTCATTACTTTGTCATTTTACCCTTGCTTTGCTGCCTGTGAGTAATACTGTGTGTCCAGTTATCACTTCCATGATTAGGAGCCCTCTGGCACTGTCAGATTTGGAGTTCTCTGGTTTATCTTACATCTAAATTTACCTTCAAGCCAAGCATGGTGACTCATGCCTGTAATCCCAGCACCCTGGGAGGCTGAGGCAGGAGATTACAAGTTCAGACCCAGCCTGGGTAACTTAATGGACCTTGCCTCAAAATGTAAAAAGGAATGGGGATGTAGCTCAGTGTAAAGGCCCTCAGTTCAACCCCACTACCTAAAAATAAAATAAACTTACCTTTATTTTCTCTGATTATTTCCTCTCTCAGTACCCAAACTCAATTTTTGATCTTCTTTGTGTGCGTGCGCACGCACACACGCACACACACACGCACAAAGTCTCACTGTTTTCCCTGAACTGAGTTGTTTTACCAAATTTATATCTGCAGTCTTTTGTAAATTATAAATTTGCGGTTGTTACCATAATATGTAAATGGAAGCATGTCCCATTGTGAATTTGTGATAGTTGAGCCAGTTCTCTTTTTAAATTTTTAAACTATGTGTTCACTTTCTATGAAGTGCCCTGTGGGCTAGCATGCCAATCTTTCATGTGAAATGCCAGTTTCACCTACAGTCAAAACCTTGTTTTAGTATGATAGTAGGTGGTATGTATCACATTTAATAAAGTGGTGTTGGTCTGTTATTTAATTTTTAGAAAAGCACATTGCTGAACAAATAAATGTGTTCACCCCCGTCTCTCACTTCCTCCCCAGAGGTACATGGGCCTTCTGTAGAGCAGAACTGAGTTGGCAGTAGCTGATGGCCACTGACATAGTTATTTGCCTGCAAGACACTTGGTGGCTTATTGCCCGCTGGAAACCACTTCACCTTTTATTTAAACACTCTTGTGAAAAAAGAGTTGCTGTGATGTGGGGTGAATGTGTTTGAAGCTCTTCAGCCTGAAATGACCTCCTAAGAGGACTGAGTCCGTCTGGTTCATTCATTGCAGTGTTCTACACAGAAGTATCTCTGAGAGGCTTAAAATAACACCACTTCCTCAATGAAAAAGACTGCTGCCTCTGGCCTCCCTTTTGCCACCCCTGGGCGAACCATCTAGTGAGTGTTTACGGAACGTGTGTTTACTCTACCAGATGTACATCAGCCTACCCATAAGTAGTTCTTAGAGTGCCTTGTTTTCATGACCCTGGGCTTAAAATTTAAACACATACATAACCCAAGCAATTTCAGACATCTACAAGGTTGTTAACATTTTCAAATTTTCACTGATATCTTAGGGTTATATAAATTGAACTGGTTAGATAATATCCAACAATACCTCTGGAAGCAGAGGTATTTATTTGTGGAGAAATACAGCCCCAGATTGTGTTTCATTTGTTCTATAAATACAAGTTGTACAAAAAGGAGCAAAGCCCCCTGAGGAAATGTAGAAGCATAAAGTGAGAGAGGAATGATTTCAGGGGTCGGCTTCTGACCCTATTCTTGGCTTCCTTTCCTGTGTGTACATACCTCACTTACTTTGTGTTCAGTTTTTTAATTTAAAAAAGGTATTCCATTTCCTTGGCACTTTCCCCCCATCTGTTTTTGTCAAACCCAAATACACTTCATGTCCATATTTCCTGGGAAAAACAGGCGTGATTCAAAGTCAGAACATTTGTTATTTCCACTTCAGTGAGTCTTGATTGAATGTCTGCCTGTGTAAGACCTTTTGCAGGAACGCAGAGAGAAC